AAGAATTTTAAATTATTATTTCTTTCACAGTTCATTTTTGCTCTGCCAGCCAAAACGTCTCTTCTGTGACTGACCAAATTCTAGCCAGAATGACCAAGAAGAATCAAGGATTTGAATCGCGTCAGCATCTTCTAGCAGAATTCATCGTTATTAAAGATACTGAATAATAATTGAGATGGTCTTTACCAGTGGAATAAGGTAATCTGGTAACAGCGAAGGAAAAGTCCGTTGCCAGAATGGAGAACTCTTCTACCAACAGGTAATAGAAAGGTTGAAGTGAAATCCAGTAAGCATTTTATGTGTAAAAACCTCTTTTTTCTGTCAAAGATAAAATATCTCTGCAGCCTCTAAAGGCTCTCCTACCTGACAAGTTATTTGCGCCCATCTGTTCCGCCAGAATGGCCTTCAGCTTCTTAATCTCCTCCTGATACTCCCTCAGCAGAGCATCCTTGGGGTCCTCATTGATACAGGGCTTGTTCTTGATGTTTTTTGCTCGATTAGCATAGCGCAAAGTACTGAGGCTTTCGTCATAGTTGTTATCAGCTGGAGATAAGCATGCTACCATCAGGGTCTTGGTATTCCCTCCGAGGGAGTCTTGCAGCAGCCTCGTCAGCTTTGAGTCTCGGTAGGGGATGTGTTTACACCTGACGTCGACCAGGGCTGAGATGACGTTGCCCAGAGCTGAGAGGGAGAGGTTGATTTTCGTGGCCTCTTTGAGCCGCTCCCCCGTGGCTCCGGTTTTTGACTGTCTCTCGCTTCCTGCCAGATCCACTAAATTGAGTTTTGCGGCCCTAAGATGGTCCTGTCCTCGCTCATCTGCAAGAAAATAATTCCGGGTTAGGCTCTTCTTAAGAGTAAGCATCTTAACAGTCAAGAACCGGGACTCTCTTGGCATTACTTTCCAGTTCAAGCCCTGTTCTTTGTTGGCATTTAGGCCCTGACTCCCTTAACTAAATAAATATCTACTTAATCTTAGGACTACATGTTTTAGTGCTTTCCTGAGCAAGATCCTGCACAGTAAAATTCATGCCCATTCTTCCTCTCCCAGTGAGCTCTGAACACCCCCCCCTCACATATTCCAACAGTGTTTAGAATTTAATGCAAAGCCCTCTACAAATAACAAGGTCAGACTGTGAATTTATACATTTTTCCTCCTCAGATTGCTTCATTAAGTTAAACAATGACTGACAATTGGAGAGAAAGAAGGGAGGAAGCATGAAGTCAGGAGTCCATGGGCAGCAACTGCAGCAGGGCTAGTTGGAGAGCACAAGCAAAAGCACAGGCTCCCTGAATGCCTACGTGACATGGAGAGACAGGCAGGGAGGTTGCGTGGAAATGCTGGAGTAGACACTACCTTGGGAAATAGTTTTTCCATGAATTCCCAAACTACAGCTTTTCCTAAGACTGGAATCCAACCTACCCTAATCAATGGACGTATTCAAGAATTTTCTTGCTGTGCTTCAAAAGAAAAAGCACATCCTCTCTGATACCGTCAAGGTCCACCATCTGCCTCGAATGTTCAAGATGCCCAGCGGATCTCCCCTCTCACCCAGAGAGCTGTAAAACTGTGCTGTGACTCAGCACACAGGCATGCTTGGCAGCATTTGTTCCCCCTCAACTCATCACATCCTCAGTGAGAAAGTAAAATGAAGGAACACAGGCAAGAAACAGGAAAACTGCAAAAAATTGGGACTGCACTCAGCCTGAACCACCCGGATGAGGAGACAGATCTCAGTGAGTGAGGAGTCAGACCCAGTGAGCTGGTGCCATTCCCATTGTAAGGCTTTAAGGCAAGAGAAGATGAGGGCTGAAGTTAACAGCTAGCTACCTGGACGTACACCTCACGCATATAATGTCTGCTTCCTGATGTGCATTTTGAGGCTAGATTAATGTGATGACACAAATTCCCTGTGACTAAGAGAGAGTGCATCTGGTTGCTTTAGGAACCCCTAAGTTTCACTGGCTACTTAACTTTCCCAGCCTCATGCAGAGCAAAGGGTTGGACACACATTCCCAAATCACAGACCACTGTCCTAAGCGCTGGATCACACTCTTGGATGTCCACATCCCAATCATTCCTCAAGATTGCAACCCAAATTCAAGGGAAGAGCTCCTTTAGCGTTCTGAGCACAGAAAGCATCAAGGTGTTAATCAAGTCCGCCCTTTTCCAGACAGACTTCTACAAAAGCTAGCCCTGAGTTTAGTCAGAGTTAAGATTTATGGCTGTGGACAATACCTAAACGTGAATGAATAGCAATGAATAATCTGATGCACGGGGCAAAGTAAAAGTTCATAGGTAAACACCACAAAAATCTAAAATCTCTTGCCCCAGGATATCTCCCCAGTTACAGCAATAGATTGTTAAGCGTGGAACTTAATGTTTGCTGCCAAGCAAACTTGTTTCATTCCAGATCTTTCTGGCGTGTCAAGACATGGGAGAATTGGGAAAAAAACAGATGGAGTTTAAACAGAGCACCCCCTCACTATCTTTTGTGAGTGCTGGAGTGAGTGGACCATCACAAAAAGCAGGTTTTTTTTAACCTTTGCCCTCCTTCCCCCAGTTTATGTAAAAACTGTCAGGCAATTAAAAATTTGGTTTGTTTCTTGCCAGTCCTTTTACCCATGGAGGCTGGTTTTGTTTCCATCTTGGAGCTGAGCAGTTTAGTTTCCATGGTGTAACAAGGTCCCCAGACTCTGGCTAAAATGCCTGCAGCAGCCCGAAAGTCTCGCCCGTCTAATTCTCGTACAGCCCATCAGCCATACAACAGCTTTCTCATTAACAAATCAATCCCTAAGCACAACATAAAGGAATAAAACATCTGCTACTGTAAATACGGTAAAAATACTGATGGTAACTTGTGCATTTCAAACATCTGCAGCCAGAGAGCCTGGTATTTCCCTGAATGTGTTACTTTAAAAAAAAAAGAGTAATTTTAGTCCATATAATTGCAAAGAGATCCTTTAAAATATCAACTCCCTGTAAATTATAATTTATTACAGGCTCAACTGGAAATAAGTTTGAACTTCTCCATGCACCTCCTCACAAAGCCCAGAGATGACAACATAAATACCAACTTCATTAACTATTTCAACTAACGATTACCCTAGTAGAACCATACAGTTACAGGGATTGTGCCAGAACCCTCAACTTTCTCCTCAAATATTCCAGCTGTCTTCCATTTAACTGCCAAAACTGCAAGTCTCCCCACCTGCCATCCTGTTCCGTGTAACAAGTTTTCAAAGCTTTAAATCAGAGAAATTGTTTCAGGCTAGATTAAGAGCCCTGCACCAATCTGGAACACAAAAGAGGAGTGTAAATAACTTTTTTCCCTTGTTAGGATCAAAGTTGGGATTTTACGGACCCACATAATGCAAGATTAGCATCCACCAGCTGTGCTAATTGAGAAATTCCCCAAATCCCACACACACCATTTGGAAATGAGGTACTGTCACCAACATCTGGAACCACAATTTATGAAGATATTGTGTAACCTTCCCTGTGACTGAAACAGCTGAAGAAAACAAAGCCAGGCTGTTCACAGCCTCAGCTGGGGTCAAGGACTAGACAGAATATGGAGACTAATTCCTTTCTTAGTCCCAGAAAAAACCCTTTCGAGGTCCGTGTTCAGACCCAGCGAGGCAGCTTTATCAGCTAAAGAAATGCCAAAGGAAATGAGATACTTGAGAAAGGAAAATTAGTCACTAAAACATTATTAAGGGATTCTTTTAGTCCATTTTCAAAAGATGTGCCCCGTGATTAAGCTCAGTGAAGGAATCGTTGGGTGAAGTGATCTAACTTGCATTGCAAAGGAGGTCAAAGACAGAGAACGATACAAGTTTCTCCAGGCTGTACAAGGCGTGAACTCTAAGCCCTTGTATGGGCTGTGAGATTTAGCCCCCTTTGCTAGAAATAAAGGTTTGAGAAGATAAATGGAAGGAGAATTAAGTATGTTCCAAATTTGAGTGTAAGACATTTCTCTCCTAAGGGGGAATCGAGGGGAAAAAAAACAACTCGGAATACTCAGCCATTTCACACTGTGAAGAATGTCAATGTCAGGGTACAATTCTGATTTCTACTGGACCTAAAATAATTCAGGATCTAAGTTGAGCTGCAGGGTGACTGGTCAGACTGCACAGATTCTGCACTCTGCTAGGCCCAGGCCTAACGCAGGACATCCAGCTACCTACCTACGGTGTAGATTTCCATATTGACAGTAAAGATGGAGTGGGAGCGGGAAGAGTCCTTGTTCATGAGGGTGTAACCCACTGCTCGGTTTCTCCAGCCTGTCTCCATGATCTGCTCGCACTGTGCCACGCTATGCACGGTGTGCAGAGAGAGCCCCTTCACGTACACCCCTTTCTCTGGGTGCTCCTTCAGCTGCAAACAGGGACAAAGCAAGACAGGTTAGAACAAGATGCACCGAGACTACAGGAAGGTATGCTGGAAACTGCCGGGAAGCTTGAGGGCTAGAGGGCTACGCGAGTTTTGCACGTGGAGAAATAAAACTGCAGTACGGCAAAAACACATCTGACTGCCACCAAAAAGCCTTAGTATTTCTGCGGGAGGAATAAAACCACACAAAAAGAGGGAATCACCTTCATGGCTCTGCAGGCAAAAAGAATTAAAGTTAAAAGTTTGCTGATTGATTCAGACATCTCTCAGACCACAAGAAACCCAGCTTCTCTGTGCTGAGCCGCTTTCTACCTCCCCTATTATTAAGCTGCATACTTTAAAAAAGAACTGAAATGTTTTTCACCTATTATGGCAAAGGATCTAATATCTCTTCAGTCATAGGGAGCTTTTTCAAAATCAAAGCACAGATTCCATAGTCACGGATATTGTTACTGGTGCCTTGCTGAACCCCTCCGCTCTGAGAGGGCGTCTTGATCTCCCTGACAAAATTCACAAAGTCACACCCACCACACGCAGGCGGACTATAATAATTTTTCTCCAGATTACTTCATTTTTAAGATGCTTTAAAATGCTATTCAGGCACCTGGGTAGAGACAGAGTTTTAAATACCTAACAGCATCTTTTCAGCAATTATCAATCATGCAGAAGAAAAAATTCATACAGAGTGATAATAAACAATTGAAATGTTCAAAATCTTGAATGACCGATCAAACGCACATAAAAAATACAAAACAATCAAGAGATCCCTGCGCTCCTACACCAGCCCCCTCCACACTGGGAATTTTAAACAAGCTGAATTCATTTTCAACAGCTATGTTACACCCCACATCTGCTGAGTTCATAACCAAAACTCTATTGTGTCAGTTGGGATATCAAGATATGGTTGGCGTGACTCGGTGATATGACGTTTGGCAATGTGACTTCCAAAAAGCCTTAGATACTTTAGTGATGCACATGCCACAAGAAGCAATGTAAAATAGAGTGTTTGCTGTTAAAAAATCCTCACAGAACAGAGCAGAAGTGGCTGAACAGTAAACTAGGCAGGATTTTAGCCTTGTTCTAAAGCCACGACTGCCCAGGATGAATCCAGTTACAGAATCACAGCCAGGCTGTTCATACACTGTGACTTTCACCTGTGCTACAGGAGAACCCCGTGGCTGGCCCAGCTGTGTTTGGGGGTGCTGCAGAGTCCCTGAGGAACACCCAGCCGAGGACATGGCCATTTAACGCCATGACAGACTGACGGGGACATTTTCCTCCCAGAGCTCCGTGAAACCTGGTCTTTGCAGGGTTTCATGCCACGGGATGCGATCGTGGCCTTCAGGGTCGCCAAAGTCACTGATCTTGAAAGGCAAAGGAACAAACAGAAACGGGATTTTGGAGGAGAACTGGGGGGCACAGAAGAAAGCACTGGGTCACCCCGGGCTTTCTGTCTCCGGACATGACTGGTGGAGGCAGCAACCGGCAGCGGCTGTCACCGGTGTGACGGTGTTACCCTGGAAACTGTTCTGCCCAACTCCTGCCCTCCCAGTGCCAACCGCGTCGCCATGGGAACCGGTGTCACTGCTGATGCGGAACAAAGGATGGGAAACTGCAGCCAGCCCCTTCCGAAACAGCGAGTCTCCTTCTCCCACCCGCCCTCTCCACACGCACAGGCACGCTTGGAACACGGAGCAGAGAGGGCTTTGCCTCCCTTAAAACCAGGAGCCTGTTAAGAAACAATCGTCTGCCCCATAAGGCAGTTTGGGTCTGTCGCCATCTCGGCCCGTCTGCGCGGCAGATGGTGCTAGTGCCTCGGCTTTCTTCACCAGGGCAGTCCTGCAGGGAAGTAAATTGGGACAGGAGATTTGCAGCTCCCTTCAGGAATACGTGCAGAAAGATCTGCAAAGCCACCACGAGGTAACTTTTATAAAAATCAGTCCCCTGATTAGGATTTCAGGATAGTTTACCCTCCTGTGTTCCTGGAAACTGCCCGCCCTCCCCATGCATTCCCATGTATCTGCTGTGTCCCCTCAAAAAAGGATCAGCTTTTTTTGTTTTAGATGAGATCATCCACAGCTACACTGGACCAAATTAAACATTTATAAGGCACAGAATCCTCCTGCTTTAGAGAAAGCCGTGAAGTGAAGAGGGTTAGGAAGAAATTGCCCCACGAGCACTTTATTCCATCCTTGTCCAGTAATGATTTTCACATAGCTTCTGCTAAGCTACCGTCCGCTATCAAGTGGGACACACGGTACGTGACTCTGGATGCTGTTCCTTCTGCCACTGAACTTTCACTAAACTCCCTCAAAATCTCCTCTTGGCTTCCATATTCATCACCACAACTTCGTATTCTGGCGTTCAGCTTCTGACAGAGCATATTATTGCACTTCTGCAAGACATTCATGATAATGCTTATCTGAGCAAATTAAAGCACTTCCTAATTAAGACACATTGAGTCCACCTCACCTCCAGTTTCTGTTTGGTATCAGCTCCTAGAAGGTCTCGTATGTCTTCATTGTAAATCTCCAGGTAGGAAGCTCTCACCAAGAACTTGGCATTTTCGGCACACTGCACAAAACAGGAACAATTTTTGGGTAAGAGTCTCAAAATAAAGGCGAGTAGACCACCCACGTAGATCCTCAGTGCCAGCTGGGTGCCTATCTCCCTTCAGCATTCCATCAAATCTCTCCTGGCGTTCCATTCCCAGGTGTAACCACTCAACACACTCACTATAGGGACTTTTTGGTCCTTTAACATCTCCAGTGTGAATCCATAAAGTCAGCAGAGATGAGAATGCATCTGACTATATACAGGCCTCAGCTTTAGGATGAGAGGCAGCACACCCAAAAGCCTATCCCCATTCTTGCTCCCGAGTGTGATTGGCACTCACTCCTCGGGGTATGACACAAAAAACATCTTTCTAGCTATCACACGATCTTACAACAGGATCTCTTTCACATCGTTATGCACCTACCTGTACGCTCTCAAAAATGTGTTCAAATGCCCTGGGTATTATGCCTTTCTGTGTAGAAGGATCCACGACTCCCTGCATGGTGAATGACTTCCCGCTGCCAGTCTGGCCATAGGCAAATATGGTGCCGTTGTAGCCTTCGGTGACACCCTGGAAATGGAGGAAAAACAAATAAAATACCAGTTATCTTCACCCTTTGCATAAGTGCAAATACGTTGTTCAGATTCAGTCCCACCTCGTAAAAGGTACTTTAAAGGAAGAGCTGGAAGTAAACATCAAACAACTGCTTGATCTTCACATGCCATCAGAGTGTAATTATTAAAAAAATGCCTTCTGCTAGCATATAAATCTATGGTTTTCTCTCAAAATGGAAAACTTGAAGAAATGCAGGTGTTGAAAAGCGGAAGAGCAGCCAACAACACTTAGAAGACCAGAATATTTTTGCTATAGGGCAGAAAAATCTTATGAAACCCAGAGAGACAACTAGAATGCTAGTTGATTGCAGGGTGGTCAAAGGGGTGGTCTCTAGCTTAGAATATTTTTCTCTTGGAAAGCTGGCTGAAAGAAGGCCTCACTTTCACTTGTTCCTGTTTAAGAGAAGCATGGTAGGAACAGAAGATATCTGGATTTCTTAAGGTTTTAATAAAATTAAAATAAAATTAATAACCTACTGTTTCAGACCCTGCTTGTTCTCACAATCAGGAGCTCCCGTCTTAAAAATATCACTAGCCATTTTATCCCTGTTTCTTCTTTTAACAAAATTGGGGTTTTTGACAGGGTTGGGGTTTTTTTGCTTGACTGGTTCCTTCCTCACCCTGGCTGTTTACCGTGCTGATGCATTAACAAGGAAACAAACACATCCTCTCTCATTTTGCTAGTCAAAAATAGGCTGAGGTTCCCCATCTATTCTAAGGTTTCTCACTTGACAGTAAAAATGTCCCTAAAATCAACAGGAGTCTTGTTTGTCCCCCTTCGCCTCACATCCCTTTCTGCTGCAGTTTCTATCCAGATGCCATCTCTAGGGCCTGCCTAGGGGGTTCATCTTTCATATAAACATCCGCCTAAAGCAATTAAGTGTAATTCTATCTTCAGTGCCCTGGCTGCCTGCTGAAAAAGCTTTTTCTTCCCAATTTCCCAGCCTACTGCCAGGGTGCTGTTCTGCCCTCCTCAGCACCCCAGGGTTGCAGCTAAGCCTCCTGAAGCCGCGGACAAGGCTGTTTCTGTCCGTAAATCAGTTCCACTTAGGGATCACCTACCCACGTAAAGCTCCTCAGCCCATGTCCCGAGCTACGTGTTGGCTGCATCCAGCTTGCTTTTGGGCACCACTCACCTCCACGAGCGGGTAGGCGATCTCATTGTAGATCTGCTCCGTGTTGTGCTCCTGGTAGTACGCCCCGTCGAAGGTGAACTGCTTTGGGGGCTCACCGGTGGCAGCGGGGTTTTGGAGGAAGCACTGGCCCCGTGCAGTCTCCATGCTGACGACCGCCTTGCAGCCGAGGGCCTTCTCACGCTCGTTCATGGGCCGGCAGCGCACAATCACCTTCACCGCCTCCGAGGCCATTTGTCAAGGCCCAGCTCAACCCCACGTGCACTCACTTGGTGGGGCTGGGGGGCAACAGGGCCTGGGTAGGG